ATACGCAAACGAGATACGAAAACAAAATGCCTTTATTAAAATAGTAATTATCTTTAAAAAAGAGTACAATTCAGATATTGAAAAATATTCAAACTTTAAAACAATGAAACTTGTTGAAAGAAATAAACAAAGGTAAAAAGTTTTCTGAGTGCATCTACGGATGTCTGCTCTGAAACCATCGACCATTGTCCTACAAAGCTTAAGGAAGTCTTCAACGTCTTTTGGAGAGGAACCATCATATTTTCTGCTTCTCTCAAACTCCTAGGGATATCTTCAATGAGATTGTTGGCTAAGAAGGTGAGTCTTGCATGCTTGTCTTTGTAGAATCGATATTCTCGGTAAAGGTCGTGAATTATCTTGTAATTATCTTTCCCTGATTTGGCGATCTTCACATACTGCTCTTCCCAATACAACTTTCCATCCCTCATCTCCGTATAGAGTTTCCGTTGTATTAAGAAATCCTTTCGGAGGCCTTCTAACTCAAGGCATACTTGCTTGTATTCTTCAGTATTTTGGATGATAAAACTTTCTTTTATCATCCTTTTAAGGTGTTCCCCTACCTTCGATTCATGGCTATCTTGGATTCTGGTGGTGAGATACTTCATTTGTTCTTCTTGATCTAAAGAAGCTTGCGCCAAACTTTAGATTTTAGCCCTTAGATCTTCTTCCATCACCTTCGTATCATGTATCGCCTTTTCTCACGTTTCCTTCGTCAATTTTCATTCTTTCTCTCTTTCTTCCCTTTGTTGTTCTTTCTCTCCTTCGCTTCGTAGAGCAACACCAACAACACCCCCAAACTCTAAATGAAAAATCACGGCGGCGACGAACCCTCCACCCTAAAACCCAAACAAAAATCAAACAAATCGTTAAAGCTAAGTGCAACCGGGATAACTCTTTTGTGGTTAATTTATTTGTTCTTCTAATTTTAGGTCCGATCTACTTTTTCTGATCTCTTCTCTCCCTTCTATTACAGGTACGATCGAAGATGACGATGGTGATGATGGTGGAGGTGCAGCAGCGACAGATGTGTGGGTCAACATATCTAGAGTTTTAGAGTAGAAACTTAGTTCTTAGATGTAGATCGCCTTGATCGAAGATTCAGAGCCGTGGAATTTCTCTATCTACTCCTTCTTCTCCTTCTTTCTTCCCATTCCCCTCTTTATTTTGAGAAAATATCATCTATTTATAACAAAAACTAGGTTAAACAAATATAGAAAAAAAATTAAATATGGATCAATAAGTTTTAAAATTCCAAATCGAAAAAATACCATTTGATTGTGATTTGTAATTATATTTAGTCAATTAATCAATATTTTCCTAATTTCTTTTACTTGCTCCTCAAGATGTGAAAACATACCAAAAGAAGAACAAATTAGGCAAAATACTCATTTTGGTCCCTTAACTATACCCTTGGGTTCATATTGGTCCCTTAACTTTTTTTTGTGTCATTTTGGTTCCTTAACTTTCAAAAAGTTTCATTTTAGTCCTTTTTGTCTAATTAGTGACGGAAAAACTTTGAAATCAGCCGCTAAATTCGTAGCTAATTAGACAAAAAGGACTAAAATGAAACATTTTGAAAGTTAAGGGACCAAAATGACACGAAAAAAAATTAAGGGACCAATGTGAACCCAAGGGTATAGTTAAGGGACCAAAATGAGTATTTTGCCAACAAATTAAATTAAAACTTTCCTTTTCTTTTCTTTTTTTTTTACTAAAAATACATAAAAGTGAAAAAATAATATTTTAAAAAATGATTAAATAAAAAACGAAAATTTAAATAAAATATAATTTTTTTTGTGATTTTTTTGAATAAAATAGAAAACAAAAATAAAGTTAGTAACACTAAAAATGAGAAGAAAAAAAAGTCAAAATATGTGCTAGTGAGATTTGAACTCATAACCTTATGCTTGCATGCTCTGCTTCCTTACCAATTGTGCTACATCATTTATTTGAAATAAAAAGCAATTGAAAGTATATGAAAGTGGAAAAATATTTGCTATTTAAAAATACAAATAATTTAAAATAAATTATTGTATATTTTTAAAGTTAAACAACTAGAAAACCCCAAAACATTATTGTAAATAAACCAAAGAAATTTATTAAAAAACAATTTTGAAAATCATTTGACTGTAGAAATAAGACAGGTAAATTTAGGATATGACAATGTCCACTGTAGGCGTGACCTTGATGGTCCTTTGATGTTGATTGTATGGTTTAGGTCATGACAGATTTTTGCATCTAGTGAACAGATCGGAACTGTCTGATATTAATCTTACGGTCCAAAGCGCCTAAGACCTTTTGTTTTTTGTTTTTGTTTTTTTGTCATCTTTGGACCTTCTGGGCCATTTTCTGCACTTTCTCCTTTTCTTCACACCCACTTTTTTTTTGTGTGATTTTGTCACACTTTGGGCCTTTGAAAGAAGGGGCTCTCTCTTTTTAACGAACGACATCTCATAGTCCATTTTGCACCCCCTCTCTTAATCTTTATTTTATTATTAATTTTTTTTTTATTCAATAATTTGATTAATTTTTATCATTATAAAAATAAATATTATAATAATTAATATTCCATTAAATAAAAAATCACAAACTTCACTTTGTTTTTAATATAAAAATCAAACCCTAATTTATAATAAAATCAATAAGTCATTTTCAATTAAAACCAAACTTTTTTAATTTAGCTGAATAATTTGATTAATTACTAAGTATTAAAAAAACATTAATACCTTTTATTTTCTCATAATTAATTAAAGATTTTTTTCTCACAGTTAATTAAATATTTCTGATGAAAAAGGATTAGTTGGACTTAATATCCACCCTAGCTCCTGGGTATTTGGATACAAGTTGTATAGTTTGCTTTTCGAATATTCCCCATCCTCCCAAAACATAATAATCACAATCGAAATCAATTTGCTCCTTCACGGGTGAAAAAGGATTAATCGGGCGTAATATCTCTTTTCCCGGAATACTTGCATACAAGTCGTAATAGCTTTCCTTTCGAGTACTCGTCATCTTTGAGAAGCCTCGACTCGATTCATTTCAAATATTTTTCATAATTAAATCAGATGAAAAATGATTAGTTGGACGTAATATTCATCCTAGTCCCCGAATATTTGGATACAAGTCGTATAACTTGTCTTTCAGATACTCGTCCTCCATTAAAAATACAATAATTAACCGAATTTAGTTCGTGCTTTCGTGGGAGAAAAAGGACTAACTGGACGTAATATCCCTTTTTCTCTGTGTATTCAGATACAAGTCGTAATATCTTGTCTTTTGAATACTTATCTTCCATTAAGGAATTATAACTTAATTTGTCTCACACTTTTCATAAATAAATCAGATGAAAAAGGATTAGTTGGACGTAATATCCATTCTAGCCCTCAAATATTTGGATACAATTCATATAGCTTTCCTTTAGAATACTCATCATCCACCTAAAAGAAACTTCAACCAATCAAACCTACCTTTGTTTCTGCCTCATCGCGATGAAAACCTTTTTCATAAACGAATGATGTTTTATCCATTATTATACGGTTCATTCATCCCATGTGCGAGTAGCAAGCAACGTTTTTCGATCAAATGCGATTAAAACAAAATCTGTGAGAATTCAGATCATGTTTTATCCATTATGACGCGATGGAAACACAATGTTCGCTACTCCCATCTTTGGGTAGCAAGCAATGTTTTACAGCTCGAATGATACCTAAACATCTTTCGCTAAAATCTACCAATAAATAAACATTTGTTACACAGAACTATGTAGCTTTGAGTTATCCATCACACCTGGGGATACGTAGGAGAGAGATTCAATATCTCGTCAAGCACCCTAATAAAAAACCTAATTCCCCCCTCCCCCCCCCCCCTTATTTTCTTGTAAATATCCTCCTACAGTAATTAGAAGAAACCAAATAGCTTAAGCTAACACTCTTATTTGAAAAAATTAACAAAACGGTTTCTATTGAGTACAATGATTATGTGTGGTGTAATACCTTATCCACACATAACCAACTACCTAATCTAAATTTAGTTGTGATGGCCATATTTTTGTTCTTTTAGGATTTTACCGATGTTTTACCTTTCAAAAATAAACTTCAGTGGCGACTTCATTTAATTTCGAGCGTTCCTTCGCTCAGGTATTTTTGCATCGCGACAAGGGTTTATTGTGATGATTACTTGTGAAATAAGCGGATAAGTTCTAGCATATTTAAAGTAAATTTGGCACTTATCAGTTACAAATGAGGCACACAAAGGGCAATGATATAATTATCAAAGATAAAACTAAAAATAGGAAGAAACCTAATATCGCGGTGGGGATAGTTCTTATTTTTCTTGAATTCACCAATATTCATGTGCATATATATCCTTTGAAGAGAAGGCATTATCTTCCTCAATAGGGAAATCACCCCATGGGTAATAGGGGCCACCTCCTAATATGGTGCATCCTCCTCAATCCTCATCCACCAGTTCATCTCCCTTTATAACTTTAAACAAATCGAGCACGCTTAGATCTAGTGATAACTAGATGAAGGCCATCATGCGCTTTGGCCATCTCAAAATACTTCTCGACAATTTTGACCAACTTGTCTTTATAGTTTGAAAGTGGTTGGAATTTTTGGGCTTAATTTCTATGTGGGAGAGATTCTCAACAATATTATATGTGTCCTTGTCCTTTTTCTTGTGATAATATTTCAACTTATTCATAGAGAAGATTGCCTCACATTTCCTATCAATAGTGGACTTCAGTAATTCTTTGACCTTGTTGTGTTTAGTGTCTTCAACCCCACAGCAGATTTGTCTGCCTGGCTATAGGAGTCATGCATTTGGTGTTCAAACATTAGGAGCCTTAAGAGGTGAGTCTCCACCAAGTTTGACATTGAATCGACATTTTCTGATCATTTGGGAAGTCAACATCAAATTTGATGTATTCTCCCACGTAGCTTTTGGAGTAAAAATTATGATTCCACGAGGAAGGCACCTTTGTTCCCTTTGGAAAAACCATGGAGAGGTATATCCTTATTGGGATCCTTTATGGTCCTAGACACCATTGTCTTCCAGGATGGCATTCTCAAGAGGCTGATTTCCTTTACCTTTCTGGTTCATGGAGGAAATCTTGTCGCCTCTCCCGGCTTGAGATTCTTGATAGGCCACGGAGAAAGGATAGTCACCCATTTTGTATTCCTCTTCTTACACTTAACCAAAAGGCCACCTGAGTAACTTTTAGGGTCATCTGACTAACTTTTTCTTCACTCTTCCTTTTCTTAGCATGATAAGTTTTCCGTTCAATAATATTCGTGAGAGTCATTCTCCCTACAAAAGAAAACACAATGAACATTATATAAGAGAAATAACATAGTCACAAACGCCTAAATATAACAAAACTTACACAACTACTCATCAATTCTCTTCTCCTAATCACCATGTAGATCGTGTTCCACCATTTCTCTATAATCGATAATGGCGAACGCTTCCAAGACCTCAATGAATTCCCTCTTTGTGACGATCACATAATTATAATTTAAGGCATTTATGGCCACAGGATTATCAATAATTTATATAGGGAAGCAATAGTCTCCATATTTGCTGACTATTACCGTAGAAGTGTTATCTCACCCTTTAGCCCTCATGAACCTATCCTTCCAGTTCTTGAAGTTATTTGAGTGAAGGGTGAAAAGGACACTCCCCAGTAAGGTTCACAGGCTCACTTAGCCTCCTTTGGTACCTTCTTAGTTCCGTAAAAGGAAAAGAAAACGAATATAGTAGGCGTGACCTTTAGGAGACCACAAGTAATCTCAAATTCTTTTATGAAAGCCCATATGTTAGGCGATGTTTGAGAGGGAAAACATTCATGTTCAGAAGGACCTCTAACTCGGAGATGGTAAAGGAATCAACACCCCTAACTCACGAAAGATATGGAGGTGTAGGTAGAAGAACTCGGATGAGGATATGGTAGAGGCGACCATGTTAACCCTTTCTTATTCAGAACAAAGCTCTAGAATTACATCTGCCTCATCGTCTGAACCTGGCTAGTTTATGCCATTACGGTAAGAAACCACTTATCCCGGGGTTGTGTAAACAGTTTTGTAGTCTTCAACTCTCAAACTTTTTGATGAGCTAGACGCCAACAATGGTCCTGATTTTCCTATGAAATAATAGGGAAAAAGGGTCATTATCACTACTAGAATAAGAACTACTTTCATAACTTTCAAACATTCCTATTTATAAAAGTTTGTAATCAATTGTCCCATTGAGATGCCTAGCATTTTTCATACAATATCTCCACATTTACATATGCTCTATATAGTATAGGGGTCAACTACATTACCACCCTCGTCTAAATCCCTAATAACCTTCATTACTGGAAAAAGAAAAGTATAAAGGGAAAAGGAAAACGTAAATACCTTGCATTAAGGATGATAAAGGATGGAAGATGGAGTTTGATTTGTAAAATCTAAGAGGAAGTTTGTACTTAGGAAATAATGTGAAGAAGAAAAAGGTCAAAACCCCATCATTATAAATCCAACTTCATAGATCACATGGGCTATCATTGCCCTAACATAGGTATAGGGATGGAAAACAGGCATGCATGCCAAGTTTAGGTCCGCTCTGCAAAAGCCCACAAGAAAATTGGGCGGAACAGGGCAGGCATAGTTCAAGGTGCAGACCTAAAACCTTGACCCTCCCCGTGAAAAGTGAAGGTGGGGCGAACTAAGCCCGCAAACACTGCATTTTTTAAGCCTAAAATGCAAAATTTTATGTTAATGCCCGTGCCTGTAAAAGTCCATATAAAAAAGTCCATATAAAATTTATGTTAATGCCCGTTTTGTCACCCCTACATAGGTACATGCCAACATTTAGAGAATGGTAGCATATACGACTTAGTATTTACACATACATGTAACTAACGACTCATAATAGTCGTGCCTTCTTTAGATAAGAGCTATCATGCATAAGCATTAAATGTTGTGTGTGCCTCCCCTAAGAAATGCTTGAGGGACTCACCCCCAAGAAACGCTTGAGGGACTCACCCTCAAGTCACGCATGAGGAACTCGTTACCGTAGGCTTCACAGAGACTATTACACATCTAAATTAATCACTTCACTCTTTCTAGGTTTCGTGCTTGAGGGGTTGTCGATTGTGATAACTTTATTGGACCTAAAAAAAACATCCAAAATACATGGAAAGAACCAGACATGCACTACTTTGGGTCGCTTGACTATAACTTGGGTCCTTGACCCAGGCTCGTGATTACCACCTAATCCATCTCACCCACACGTGACAAACGAGGTGCTAAGGAGACAATTAGTTTGACCATATTAGAAAAGAAGAAAATTGTCCCTCCAATTTTTGAGGAAGAATTAGTCCTCCCATGTATTCATTGGGAAAGTATGAGAAAATTGTTTTCTCTCTGTTCCCCGGCCAAAGAAGCCATTTATTAATATTTCAATCTTAAGACTTGAGGATTCATTCACTAATTTTACGTAATTAAAGTATAGGCTCCCTCTTGCAATGCAATCACACGCATGAGCAAAGTTATTTTCCTATTTTACAAGTACACATACATAAGAATATGGAAATGAAAATGGAATTAAATCTTTTTCCTACTCTTTGTTTAAAAGCTAATTACTTCATTTGATTAAAGATTGAAATTATAATTACATATTGTGCAAGGGAGATATAATGTTGGTTTGATGATTGAGGTAAGAAAACTGAAGAGTGAAATGATAATAATAGTTTTAAATTAATAATACTGACATTACTAAATATTACAAGTTATCCTTAATTGTAGACATCTAATTACAAATTCTTAGTTATGAACTAATTTCAGAGCGCTATAACATACATAGAATCTAGGAGTGTGTGAGGATTTTTTTGCTCATTAACTGAACAAGTTTATGAACTAGTTCTTTCTATTTTGATACAAACTTTTTAGATTGATTTCTAATATTTAACAATAAAAATTAATTAACAGTTAAATCACATTATAGTATCACTTTGTTGTTTTAATTCAAAAATATGACTGCAATTAAATATAATTAAATACTTACTTTCTTTTGTTACATGTGTATACGGATTAAATTCGTAATAATTTTCCTACCAAAATAAATAAATTCATAATAATTCCATGTACAACATTCATAATGGGCATTATGTATAGCATTGTATACGTTTAAAGGCTAAATAAATATCCTAAGGTAAGTTCGATAAGAAAAGTTCAAATATTTAGGAAGCAAAGCATAGCAAAGAAAAATTGGACACCCATGTTAATATCTAATATTTCTTTTTCCGTCCATCAAGAGTTTTAACACAAAAACCTTAGATGAAGCTACCCTTCCGTATGAATATTGTTTCTCATTTACCTATACTAAAAAAGAAAACTCTATCAGATTGAGAAAGCATAAACTGTGTTTTGTTGCTAAATTCTATTTGATAATGATCTTTGTGCTACTTGTGATCCATTTGGTGAAAATCAGATTTTAATTTTGGGCCATAGATGAGTGAAATACTGTTGCAACCTATAGCTAAAGACTCAAATCGTTACCACTTTTTTCGGATTGTTTTGTCACTTTATCGAGTTCGATTGAGCTGTTGTCTGTTTCTTTGTACCTATACCACTGTGCACATATCACAAAGCAGCCTAAGTTAACAATCTGTACAGCAGCAATGATGAGATAGAAGTTATCCAATCTCCCCTTGTTTAGATCCTCCGGCAACCAACTCCCTGTTTCAGATCTGGTGGTTATATGGTGGATAACGGCAATAAGCATACTGCTCAAATAACTTGACCCTGCATGGGCCGCGTAGTAAAGAGAACCTGCTATGCTTCTCATGTTCTCAGGAAATTGTTTGTAGTAAAATTCAATCTGTGCAACAGACATGAAAGCTTCAGCTAGTCCAGCCAATGCGAGCTGAGGAATCAACCACAGACCTGACATTGATGAGATTGCCCCTTTTCTCGTTTCCACGTCTAATGGTTTAGTCAAAGCTAGAGTTCTACGGTGCTCTTCAACTATGGCTGATACTAGCATGCTGAGTATACCCAAAAATATGCCAATGCCCATCCTCTGAAGGAGTGTGATGCCACCCTCTTTTCGAGTGATCCTTTGGAGAAAAGGAACAACTTTCCGGTCGTAAATGGGCAACCAAATTGCAACACTTATCATCAGAAAGACATAGTAGGATGCTCCTGGGATCATGAACTTACTTTGTCCAATACGTCTGTCGGATAGAAGGGCTTGGAACACTAAAATAGTGTGCTGTTGGACGATAACAACGTAGTACAAAACGGCTGAAGCCCATATGGGTAACACTCTCAACAAGCATTTTACCTCTTCCACTTGTTGCATACTGCATAGATTCCAGGGATCAGCAGCAGATCCATTAGGATTTTTTTGATCTTGTGGGGTTATGATTGCCGCCTTGTCCAGGAACCTGTTAATATAAGCCATCCTTTAAACTCTTATTGAAAATAATCATATCTACCACCAAATGCTAATTTCTTGTTGTTTACCTGAATTGATAAGTATAAGGAAGTTTAGAATTCATTGACTTGGGAGGCACATAATTGAAGAGTGACGGGTATAGATATTCTGGGAGCTTGTGCTTCCTTTTCTTTGCAGCAACCACAATAACTTGCACTATACTAGTAATGGGACTACCACTTGGTTTAACTTTCACATACATTTTGGCCCCCGAGAAAAATATTACAGAAGACAAAAGCATCAAAGCTGCAGGAATTCCCAAACCGATGGCCCAGCTTACATTTGACTGTATGTAGACAATAATTGTTAAGGATATCAATTGAGCAAGAGTGAAAGTGAAATAGTACCAAGTGAAGAAGCTATTGATCCCCTTTTTCCCAGAATCTGTGTTAGGATTAAACTGATCAGCTCCAAATGCTAAGTTACATGGCCGGATCCCTGCAGCTCCTATCATCAATAACCCTAAACCAGTCTTTAGAACTGTCATTTGCCACTCTGTTGGCCCTTGGCATGTAGTGAATTCTAAGTCTTCACATGAATGTGGATGCAGCTTCTCGACTGCTGCTGTTAGTTGTATTACAAGCAAACCCTGAAGGAAGCAGCGAAATCTAGGAATCAGAGAGGCACGACTCTAATGTGCTAAAGCTTGTCAAGGAACAACAATTGATAGTTCCATGTTAAGCTTTTTAAAATTGAATGATCTCAATTGTTGATGATCTCAAATTTTATTTCATACTTGTCAATACCAATGATATTTCCAAATTTAGATATTCCTAACTTTATTGTGTTTATAAACAAAATAGATAGAATGGATCAGAGTGATGAATGCATCAGGAAGTAGCAATTTACCAGAAAGGAAGCCATGGTGCAGAATGCCAATGTCTTGTAGCGACCAAAAAAGGCATCAGAGGAAAAGGCTCCTATCAATGTTGCAAAATTAGTACTACCATTGAAGATGTTGATAATGTTTGTAGCCGCGATGTTTTCCAAGTTGAATACCGTAGTGAGATAAACCAAGAGATTGGATAAAGTGCCAATGGCTCCTAGCTTCTCAAAAATCTCATTTCCTGTCAATCACGCAGATGAAACACTCACGATTTAAGAAAAAACTAACCGGAGAAAACAACACAAATAAAAACAATATATCTTGCTGTTGCAGTCTCGCTCACCTATAATGAAGGGCATGACCTTCCACCCCCTGTAGTTAATCTTAGCATCATCTTCCCCTCCACTATTTTCATTCTTCAGCAAACTTTCTTCTTCATTATCAACATTCTCACCATTTGTCATTTGTTCTCCGATTGCAATTTGGTTCGTGATCATATACTCGAAGTCCTACCTTCTCGAGGGAAAGAGATATCAGATATGCTATGTTCAGTTTAATATAGAAAAACTCGACATGTATATTTGTCCTAAAGGGGTCAAACCCTATGTATGAAGTTTTTCAAACTTGAAATTTACAATTTTTTTAAGGGGTTTTCACTCTATACAACATTTTTTCCCCAAATCATGTTATTTCTGATTGAATGTTTGAGTCAGTACCTAACGAACAAAACACTCTATCAAACAATAAAAAACCAAAACCTAAACAAGATCACAACAACACAAATTAACTCATACACCGTACAAAACACAATCAAATTCAACCTAAATGCTACGTCATAGAAGTAAAATTCAACCTAATTCAGAGCTGATAAATTTTCTAGAAGCGATAATTGTGATTGTAAATTTGATTAGAAATTCAAAACATAAGTCAACTATATAGTTGTTAAGATGATGCGTCCAAGAAATGGATAATGGATATAGAGAAATAGAATTGCATGAAAATTCAGAGGAAAGAATGGAGAATAATGGTAGGAAACAGTACCTGAAATAGGAGAGAGTACGGTGCGGAAGGAAGAACATGGACACAGATACGGTTTCGCACTACAAGGTTCTTAACGACTTGGGAGAGTGAAAAGTCCCTCTTTTGCCTTATAGAATAAGGTGAGTTCTAATGTAAATGGTCCACGGTGGACAAGCTCTTAAATTTATCGCACACAAAAATTAATGATACTAAAGAAGCTCTTAAATTTATCGCACACAAAAATTAATGATACTAAAGAAACTCTTAATACATCTTTACTATTCTTGTTTTTAAGTGATATTCCCTTCGGTTTTATTTATAAACAAAAAAAAATTTAAATTTTTTGACCTTAAATATTAGCAAATGTCAACAAATATTTATATATATTTAATATTTATATTTTAAAATTATTTATGTATTAATTACTTAATATTATTATTGGATGACAATTTAATTGAGGATTATTAGTATTTATATTATTTTTTTTACTAAAATCAAGAAAATTAAATGTACTTAACTATTTCTCCTAATAAACATGAAATTTGTCTTTTTTGCTTATAAAATCAAGTTGGTGTAGTATGTATTTTACCTCAATTCAATGCCACATCACTCCAATTTGCAAACTTTGATGGCTTTTACTGCAAGATGTGTATTTTATCTCAATTCGATGTGGTTTGAACGATGAATCCTGCTTACCTTGTATTCGAGATGGTAGAGATTTCATAAACATGAAGTACATGTTAGGATTTACTAATCTAGATTTCTTCGCAACTCATAGTGTAAACAATTGACTCAAAAAATGATATGCCATATTATTCTGAGTGTCGAATCCACATAGACCTAATAGTCAAGTTATCGTTTTCTATCGTTGCGGTGTTTATCTAAGGCTAATAAAATATAAGTTGGAGTTGTGTAAGTAAAGTAAATAAAAGACTTGAATTAATTTCAGAAAAACAATGTTGGAATATGGATCTCATCAATTCACTGGTACTCTTGTTGTTCATAAATCGAACTACTATAGGACAATATTTTCTACTTTGAAAAGAATCAATCGAACATGAATTTTCATTTTTGCGTATTCAGAACCGAATTTTACTCTCTAAATTATAACATCCACTATCACGATGGTGGCGTATATTGCATTAAAGAAATAAAACATATTTTAAGAAATTAGATTCTTTACTTAGTTGAAAAGTGATTTTGATTGGAAAGTTCAACTTAAAAGAGTTCCAAGCTTTCGCTTAGGTAACCAGATCCTAAACTCATAAATGTGTGCTTTCATAAATAGTTTTAAAATCACTTTCTAGAAATATTAGACTTCTTAATTAATTGATAAAGTGCTTTCGCAGTTTTTATCAATTAATTACTAAGCAACTTTACTCTTTTGTACCAGACGACTTTCGATCTTACCCGGCGTATAAATGGTTCTACTTTCATAGTAACCGACAAATTAAGTTTAAAAAAGTTGTGATTAAAACTAAAATAGTCCCAATAGAACTTCTCAAAGAACAACCATTTAGAGTACCTTCGAATCGATGATCCTCACATTCCAACACTTATAAATTTAGCTAGACATGGTTATGACATAAACTAAAGCGATTGATTCGTTCATGTGATAAGACATGGTAAACATATAAGTTTCAAAACATGCAATTAAAATAAAGGTAGAAGAAGAGCATGCGATTAAAATAGAGACAATAAAATAAAGATAATGTGATTAAATAAAAACCTGCTCTGAAGAGACTTTAATTTGGTATAGGAAGTAAATTGTTGAAACTGAATGCAAAAAGTAAATGACTGAAAGATTAATGCTTCAAATAAAGGTTGCTCCAAACTCAATCACAGACTCAATCAATGGTGCAATAACCCTCTGATGTGAAGAGTTAATCGCTTACAATTTTGATAGTATGTGGCTTAAGTTTGTAACTAAGCTTAGATGATTTGAAAAGTAATGGAATGGTGGTATTTATAGGATTCCAAAAACCCTAAAATCACAAAGGAGATTTTCAAATGTGTGGAGAGAAAATAGGAGGAAGTGGGGTGAGTGCTTGACCAAAAAAGCTCAATTTTCAACCGCATGGCCTTTATAATGTGTGGCGACCGCCACACCCTCCATGGCGAGTGCAATGCTCATACGGCGGCTAAAACTTGGTCTCTTGACCGTTGAGACGTGGACCACTTATGGCCACCCTGTGGTGAACACCATGGCGTTTGCTTTGAGTGCATTTTTCCTCTAATTCTTCCATGTTCCGTCAGTTTTGCTTCATTTTTTCGCGTACGACTCCCAAACGATCAATTATCTGAAACATAGTCAAAATATCAACATAATAGTGGAAATGTAAAACAAAATGACAATAAATATGCATAAATAGTACATTTTGGCCCTATCAAACTCTCTCACACTTGAACCATTGATTGCCCTCAAGTAAAATGAAAGTAAACAGTGATACTCGACAGTTACTCTGGCTTAAAGACTCTACTTTAACTTCCATATGTAGAGCATGCTTAAGCTGGAGCCGACTGCTAAAATAAACTATTTAATGACCTATTTTGGGGTGAGACTTTAAAGCTAAGGCATAACAAGTATCCATATTGATATTTATAACTAAGAGACTTACGGTGTTAAGACGATACCGATATTTCAAGAAATTTCCCAAGTATTCTTAACTTGTCATCGATTTGTCTAATAGCTCACAAATTCAAAACAAATACTATTACTTTTTTCAATAATTTTCAAAAAAAATCGGTATGGCTCAAGAAAAGGAAAAATTCAATAAACAACCAAAACTATGCATAAAGACTCGACAGTACAAGTAATGACTCAAAGTAAAAATAAAAGAAATACTTGAAATTAATAAATCTAACTAGGAAGCAGGAAATCTAACTAGAAAGCAAGTAAATCTAACTAGAAAGCGAGTAAAGTTCCTCTCTCACACTTAAACCTAATATTGTCCTTAATGTTTTTGATCTAAGGTGAAATAGGAATGATAGAACCTGGTGTGTAGTCACAATCAGAACCATGACGACCTTCAGCTCTCCTTAATGAATAGATCTACTGGAAAACATGGTTCATCTGCTTTGTTAGTCTATCGACTTGTTGTCTTCGGTCACAGTGAAGGGCTGTGATTTCTCTTCTTAAAGCGTAAAGCTCATGGTCAACATGTTGGGTATCAGTGGGATTTGAAGAAGATGGTGATGAAGGTGCATCTAGAGGAGAACAATCATTTTCAGGTGCGGGAAGAGTCTCAGGTGCTGATGGGTTTTCATCTGGTTTTTCTAATTGGTACCACTAGTTATTGTGGCCATGGACGCTAGTAAGCTCCTGGTTTGGTAAGGTGAAATAATGGACAATTTCATAATTGATAAGAATTTTTAACTAGTCAGTCCTTCACGTCTTACTAAGCTATAGTTTAGGAAATGGTCGATATTAAGTAGGTCGTACCCAAAGGTAGGGGTTAAGTGAGCTACACGATTGTAGGCTTAGTGCTACAACAATATGAGTTACTAGCTTACCCACATATATGTCTTCTATGATCTGATTAGCAACCTTATTTAGATTTTTCAATAGGAAGGTTGCAGAGTTAATTGGGTGGTTATGGAAAACACTCATGATGAAGAAAATCTCATCTTTGCTCACATCAGTTTGGTTTGGTGCTTTTTCGAAGAGTGTTTGGTCTGTAACCATATGAAAGTACCGAATTGCAGGGTTATGGATGAAATTATTATTCATAGCCTCATGACCAGGGTGTAGATCTTCAGTGATTCCTCCCCAAAAAAATATAATTCTCCTTGCATATCATCTGGCACTTCGGAATAAGCTTGGGGGCTATGTTGAAAAGAAAAAGATCTGGATAACTCTCTACAAATGAGATGGTAATCTTGGCCAAATATTTTAAATGTGGCTAAGCCTCTATCTTATCCTTGTACAGTGTGGGGCTGGAAACGAAATGAACTAAATTTCAATATGAGGTTGTTGTAGGTTGGGTGTTTGCTATTGAAAACCTATCCCAATTCATTTGGGTAAACATAAAATATACACTATCAACGAGTCATAGGTAAACCAAGGAAGGAAAATATGGGTATTAACTAGGTGAACTGATTGTTTCAGATAGGACATCGTAGCGCTTCCTTTGGTCATTGTTTTTGAAAATGACCTTCATTTCATTAATAGTTTGCATCCTGAAATAATATTAGTGGATAAAATATGACTAGGTATAAATCAGTGGATCTGCAAAGAAAACACACACAAGTTAGCTATTTATTAATATAAAATCAAAAATAATAAAAAAGTGCAAATTTGTGGGTTGCCTCCCAAGAAGCGCTTTGTTTAACATTGGTAGCTTGACGAAAACGAGAATCAAGTTGTAATGGTAGCAGTTGGTGGTTCCATCAAAGTATTTCTATCATAGGTAATAGGGATGTCACTGCTACTATAGTGTTTTAATTGTTGTCCATTTACAATGAAAGGACCGGTTGA